GCTTATTAATGCAAGTGCCAATTTCTCTAAGTGTGGATACCTAGTTTCAGCATCTCCTAAGGTTCGATTCATGTAATAAATAGGAAATTGCATACCTTGCTCTTCTTGAATGAGTACACCACTTACCGTTATTTCGAACACTACCAAGTATAAGTACAACATCTCATCTGCCTTCGGAGTGTAGAGAGAAGAGGTGGGCTCGATAAGTATTGCTTCAATTCCTCTAATGCTTGCTAACATTCCAGGGTCCATGAGAAATCATTTTTCTTTTTGAGTAAGGAAAATAACATGTGGCTTCGATCTGATGACCTCGAAATGAATCGGCCCAAGGCAGCTATCCATCCGGTTAGCCTTTGTACAACTTTCAAACTGTCTACGACGGTGATTTCCTCGATGGCCTTAATCTTATCGGGGTTGATTTCGATTCCCCGATTTGATACCATAAAGTCGAGGAATTTGCCTGAGCCGACCCTGAAGGCACATTTTTCGGGGTTAAGTTTCATGTTTTACTTCCTCAAGATTTCGAATGTTTCTTGCAAATGAGTCAAATGGTCCTCTGTGCGCAGGAACTTAACTAACATATCGTCAATGTAAACTTCCATTGATTTACCTATCTGTTCCTTGAACATTTTGTTAACTAGGCGTTGGTATGTAACTTCTGCATTTTTTAGCCCGAAGGGCATTACATTGTAACAATAAGTTCCATACTTGGTGATAAACGAGGTCTTCTCCTGGTCTTCGGGGTTCATATGAATTTGATTGTACCCAGAATAGGCATCGAGAAAGGTAAGGATCTCGTGGCCAGCTGTGGCATCGATCATGCGATCGATGTTAGGCAGTGGAAAAGAGTCTTTAGGGCATGCCTTGTTCAAATCCTTGTAATCTACGCACATTCTAAGTTTGGTCCCTTTTTTAGAGACTACAACTACATTGGCTAACCACTCAGGGTATTTTACTTCCCGAATGAATCCTATTTTAAGAAGCTTGGTTACCTCAACCTTTATGAATGCATACTTTACCTCGGACTAGGGCCTTCTCTTTTGCTTCACCCGTTTTAACCCGGGGTTGAGGCTTAGCCGGTGTGTTGTTATCTCCGGTAGGATCCATATAATGTCTAAATAGGACCAAGCAAAACAATCCATGTTATCGATAAGAAAATGAATAAGTTTTTTCCTGAGTTCGGGGGTCAACCCCATTCCCAAGTATACCTTTCGTTCAGGTAGATACTCAATCAGTATCACCTGTTCCAGCTCCTCGACCGTCGACTTGGTTGCATCTGATTCTTCAGGAATGACGAAAGTTCGAGAAGTAAGGAAATCCTCTTATTCTTCTTTGATTACCTGTTTCTCCAATTCGGTCAAGGTTGGAGACAATGATTACTATTGGCCGTCTGCTTATCTTTGGTGCTCGATTTTTCTGAGGTTGAAGGTGTTGATATCAGCATTACCTCATCGACTGTAAACATTTCCTTTGCAGCATGTTATTCCCCGTAAATTGTTTTCACACCATCCATTGTTGGGAATTTCATCATTTGGTAAAGGGTCGATGGTACTACCCTCATATTGTGGATCCAGGGCCTTTCGAGCAGTGCATTACATCTCATGTCGCCTTCGATGACATGGAATTTTGTATCTTGGATGGTCCCGACCACGTTTACTGGTAGGATTACCTCCCCCTTTGTTGTTTCACTTTCCATGTTAAAGCCGTTTAGGACTCGAGATGCAGGCACAATTTGGTCTTGCAGGCCGAGCTACTCTACGACACTTGATCTGATTATATTTGCTAAGCTACCTGGTTCCACTAGCACACGTTTAATTTGAATTTTATTTAACAAAATAGAAATTACTAGGGCATCGTTGTGTGGCTGAGAAATGTCTTCCACTTCTTCGTCATTGAATGATAGGATGTCTTCGGGCACATAACCCCGAGTCCGCTTTTCTTTGGTGATCGACACATTGGTACGTTTGAATACATGCCCTTGTGGAACATCGACCTCGCCAACGATCTTATGAATGACATGTTGTGGTTCTTCTTACTCATTCTTTCTGTTGGTGTCTCTTTCTCTGAAGTGATTCTTAGCTCGATCATTGAGGAACTCTCGAAGGTGGCCCTCGTTGAACAATCGAGCTACCTCCTCCCTCAGTTGTTTGCAGTATTCGGTCCTATGGCTATGTGTGCCATGATATACACCAAGTTTGGGTTCCTTTGAGAAGGATTGGTATGTATAGGTCTAGGCCACCTTCCGATAGCCGATACAATCCCCGATGCATTAACACTGAAATTATACTCCGATAATCGAGGTGCTTCTACGGGATCAACATGTTTATCAAAACCACTCTTACTCATAAGTCCCCAAGAATTTTTCCCTCTATCATTTCTTCGATCATTCTGAGGAGGAATGCTCCCCGAACCATTGTTTCTCCGATCTACGATATATGGCTGATATCGTTCTCTGTTCAACCTTCATTCCCTGTTGGTATCCCTCGGGGCTTTACCCGTCAATCTATTTGGATCGATGGAATTCAGTGGTAAGTTGTGATACCAAATCATTGCTCCCTTTGATAGAGTTTCCCCAAACTTTTTCAGCAAAACTAACTCGATCTCATCATCTTCTAAGTCATTTCCCTTTATCCCGCGCGTGTACGTAGTGATATGTTCATTAGGATCGGTGGTCCCATTGTATTTAGGTATATCTGACATACAAAACTTCTTTGGAATGGGTTTCGGGGTTGCACTATGAGGAAAAGGCTTCTGCACGAACATTTTTAAATCCAAACCCTTTAAGATCGGGGATGCCCTCGATATCTAATCAACTCGGGAGTTTTATGTTTCCACCTTTTTGTCATTATCTTTGATCTTCTTTTCTCCTGACTCGATTCTTTTGGTGAGCTCCTCGAGCATTTTCATAATTGTAGGATCAGTCCCTGATCCGTTATCGCTCGTCCTTTCCGGTACTGGCTCGGTACGACGAATGATTTCTGGCTCGACCACACTCGGAATTCTATGTTGACTCTGAAGCTGAGCAATGGTGGCATGTTGAGCCTGTAGCATCTCGAATATTACTTGGAGACTAACTCCCCCGTCTCCTACACCCTGTGTTCCTTGGCCACCAGATCAGCCTTCCCTGCTTACACTCAATCTCGGGTCTGCATCTAAGTCTGCATTCAAAGCAATGTGCGAACTAACGTCGACTGGATCGGCAACCGGCACTTCCCCAGGGTTAATCAATGGTACCCGTCTCCTGGAGCAATTACATTATCATTTTTCCCATGAAATCCAAGACCATCGTTGCCATGTACGGGTGTGTTTTGAGAGCTTGACATGTTTTAACCTGAGAACAAAAATTCTTGACAAGAACAAGTGTGAAAATAAAGTGTGTTATCAAAATCAATACTGAAACAATCACTATTATCCTTAGCCCCACGGTGGGCGCCAAACTGTTTACTCTCAAATCTGAGTAACAATTAATTTTGTATTGTCGTTTTAAAGATACATGATTTAATCCAATGAAATAATCACCATAAACACAAGGTATAAATCCCAAGTAGCTTACCTCTTTGGAAATACTTGATCCTCTCTTGAAATCACAGCTTGGAGCTCCAAAAATCGCACAAAATGGTGAGCAAATGGCTGAAAAATTGCGAAGGGGCATTTTGTTACATTCTGCCCAACACTTCCGCACCTGCAATCCCATAAGCGCACATGTGCTTCTGCTTTTACAGAAAAACACCCGCTTCTGCGGATTTCACTTACTCCATCAGATTCCGCATCTGCGACCCGGGTATCGTACCTGCGGCCTCGCAGATGCGGTCAAGATCTCCGCTTTTGTGGTCTCCTTTATGCACTAGCAGCATCACACCTGCGGTCACCAATCCGCAGGTGCGGATACAACAAAAGCAACAATTTTTCTGCTGCAAAACTCCAAGTCCGACCTCCCGATAACTATCCGAAACCATCCCGAGGCCCCTCGGGACCTCAACCAAAAGCACAATCATGTCCCATAACCTTATTCGAACTTATACCAATCTTCAAAACACTTCCAACAACATCGATTCAACCAAAACACATCGGATTCAAGCCTAAGATCCCAAAATCTTTCGAATTTCAAATTTGATAAAAAACCCAACCAAACTACGTCCGAATGACCTGAAATTTTGTACACACATCCCAAATGACACAACAGAACTACTACAACTTTCGGGATTCCATTCCGACCTCTACATCAAAATCTCACTATCAACCGGAAGACACCGAAATCTCAATTTCGCCAATTTAAGCCTAAACCTTCCATGAGCTTCCAAAATGCATTCCGGCTCCTAAGTCCCAAAGCACTCAACGGAACTAACCAAAACATAAAATTTCCGATGTGAAATCATATACAAACAAGTCAACTCTTGGTCAAACCTTTCAAATTTCAAGCTTCAAACTGTGAATTGTTCTTCCAAATTCATTCTGATTACCCTGAAAACCAAAACCAACGATTTACATAAGTCATAATACATCACACGGGGCAAGTCATGCCCGAGAACTGGCGAGCAAAGTGCAAAAACTCGAAACGACCAGTCGGGTCGTTACAATGATTGATGATGTTACAAATGAATGGACTCCCCTTTATATAATATGGGAGTCCTAAATAAGGTACATTTCTATTTTTAGTAGGGAATCTCATTGGACAACTGTCTAACTGCTTAGTACAAATCCGTTCCTAAATTTACGTCGTGATCTTAGGGCCACTGCTGGAATCTCGCTCATTCTATTATAAAACCATAACGATATTATCTAGAGGTTGGTCACACTTGGCCTCAGTGTTCATCGAGCACTTCAATCTTTGTGTTTTGTACTCTGCCGTCGGGCTCGAGCCCGGTCCATTTTGAACTTATTCTCAAGGCGATTCCTCAAGCCTATGAAATCGGGCACACCTAATTTCAATCGTATACAGGTTTTAAAAAATATTCTGAGTCGCATGCCTTCTGGTGGTTGAGCAACAAAATACCCTTTTAATGAAAAATCGTGAAGCTCGTCCCACTGGATCTGTTTCATTCATAGAAGCAAATATGGTAGCAACACGTGATAAGTTTGAAAGAAGACAAAACAATTATCAGGGCCATATGAATGTATGTGGGCTTGGCAAGAGACGATGTAATAATCGTCATCGTGGTGGTCATTCTAAATGGGAGAATAATATGGGTTCTCAAAATAATCCTTCAAGAGAAAAATGCAATAACTATCATCGATGTGGTATGAAATGCCACTGGAAACATGAATGTAGTGCGCCTGAATATTTTGTCAGGCTTTATCAAAACGCCACCAAAAGAAAAATATATAATGTTAGAGCCTCTTCTGCTAGTACCCCGGTGGAGTCGCACTTGACCTTTCGAAATGATGCTGAGGCAGGGCCTTCAAACAAATATGATGATAATGCCGAGGCAAATCATACTTTTAAAGATGAAGACTTCTTTGAGGACCAAAATTGAAGTTTGTTAACTTTACTGGGGAATATATTGTTCCTTTTGTTTTCGTATTTTAATTGTCTTGTTCTTTCTTAAGTTGTTTTAATTTTCAAGTACCTTAAGTTATCTTATAGTGTTATTTGTTTTTCGTATTTCTTATGATGTACTTTTGTTTTGATGAAAAAAATAAAATTTTCCAATCTTCAGTTGGACCCAAGATGAGTAATAAAGATATATGCCTTCTAGATAGTGCGATAACTCACAAAATTAATTGAGGCTTTATAAAAGCGAGTTTATTACTACATGGTGGAATAATATTGGCTATAAATAATTCCTTATATTCTAGTAAGTCTCAAAAAAACTTATTGAATTTCAAAGCTATTCGCCAAAATAACTACAATGTGGAGATTGCCAATGAAGGAAAGGTTGAATACCTTTATATTACTACAATAAAAGCGAGAAAAGATATGTACATGAAAAGTTACCTGCATTTTTCTCTGGCTTGTACCACACAAGTATTAGTATGGTTGAATCACATGCTGTAGTAAACAAGAAGTTTACCGGTTTTAATGATTTTATCATTTGACATGACCGGTTGGGCCATACCGATTATAATATGATGCATAAAGTAATTGAGAATTCACATAGGCACACATTAAAGAATCAAAAGATTCTTCAATCTAAAGAACTCTCTTGTGCTGCTTGTTCTCAAGGAATATTGGTTATTAGACCATCAACAGCTAAGGTTGGGATTGAACCCCCTGTATTTCCGAAACGTATACATGATGATATATGTGGGCCCATACACCCTCCACGTGGAACAATCTAACTATACTACTTTACTCGTTTTCTTAATCTCTAGCGATATAGTTAAGTTGTTAGTGAATAATTTATAAAGTATGATTTGTTATGAATAGTTTGTAGATATGGATGCCCATGTGTGTGAATAGCTTATGGATGAATTCTCATACTTTATTTGCATCCCACACATTATTTTACAGCAGTAAGTCTTCACATTTTTAGCATATAAAAGGTTGTGTAAATGGTAATGAAATGACACACCGGAAGAGAGGGAAAACTTCTTCTTTCTATCTCTCTTTCTTATTTCTATTTTACCAAATTGCTTTTATTTCATAACAGGATTATATATACATTCTATTTATAAAACATTCATTTATTAAAATTTGATTGCATAGTTACACTGTGAGTTTTAGAACTCATAATGTAATCGTAGTCGATTCACCCCTTTCAGCTGAGTTTATCTATATTATACATCTCATTTAAATGAGTTTATCCAAATTTTACATCTCATTTTATCAGTTACACTCATTTCATGGAAACGCTTGTGCAATACTTTTGCATATAAAAAACCTATTTGATTTGTGCACCCTCTAGGGGAGAAGAAAAAAGTATTTTAGTTATCCTTTGTTAATCTTAGAATTTTTTTTTCCTTTGTTAATCTTATTGGTTATTTATATTATCTTCACTGTAAATTGTAATATGTTATACGGAGGCTTAAATATGTGGAGCCATTCAATCTTTTCATTTATTAATTTGGAGGTCTTGTGATTGTTATTAGCCTGCGTTCGATTTTTCAGTGGGAAGAATAAAAAATATCATCAATCTATTTTGGTTTCTCTAATTTTCTCAATAACTGTGAGCACGTGATTTTTGTTTTTGCGCGACAGTCGCTCCAAGAGAATAAAAATTGGTCCT